CCCTCAAAGGGCACCAGACTATTCATCCAGCTGAGTGAAAAAACACAGACTCACTTTGACACTGTATCAGCTAACTCTCCAGATAACCCCAAAGCTTGCCAAAAGGACAAGCCTGATGTCATGCAAGCCCTGAGCAGAGCAATCCCAGATCTTGGTGAGGGTATCAGCTCCAGGAATTTTCCACCCCTCTGGTGAGAGCTTGGATGCTGAAATTTATCATGAATAAGGAAGCATGTTAAGGGAGGACAGAAGATAAAAAATCTTAATAAAAGCACCATTAATTATATATACTGGTAAGTAACAGAAGATCCACAAGCTAAGCATAGAGACATAGAGAATTAAGTGCTAATAATCCAGAAAGTCTTCCACCCAAATCTATTCTGACACTTGAACATTTGAACCTGTTTTAAGGACAATCTAAAATAAGATTGAGCACCCAGCAGCTGCATTCATACTGAGCTTTCCTTGGAGAAGGGAAACGGGAAACAGGCATAATTTCCTTTAAGCCCTCCTCCAGACATACGGTGCAGCTAAGTACATACCAGTATGTATCCCTCCCCATCCCAAATACACATTGCCTTGTCCATGCAGCTGCCATCTATGCTGGCATGCCCCATGCCAGGGCTTGCCTTGCCTTGCTCAGGAGAGCCCCAGACCTGCCTGTCTGACATGGCTTATCACGAGTGGTCACTGCAGGGCTGGAGGGGAAGGTGGAGGCAGCCTGCTCTGTTTATTTACTTGCAGGGGATGAAAGCCAAACTGGGAAAGGACTTTGGTAAAGTGCAGTCAAGTGACTATAAAGTACTGCTTTAAAAAGGCACAAGGTCACCTTTGCTGACATTTGGATAAGGATTTTATAGAAGTCACAGGACTGAGAGATGGGCTTGTTGTGGCTATGATCACAGGGGAGGGAGGGATTTATGTTCTGGTTAAGAACACTGCATTGTTGTGACTCTTTCGTGTTCACAAATGCTCATTTATTAGGCTGTTGGATAAAAGAGGCTGATTGGGCTTTTTCTTCTCACTTACTTAGACTCTGTTGGCACAACTTCATGAAATTTAATAGCCCTACTACCCACCAGTACTCCCCGGGTGCCCTGTTCTTGCATAGTTTGTCTTCTTATTTGGTTAGACCTTAGCTATTTCAAGGCTGTACTTCATTTGAACACAATGTGAGAACTCATATATATCATTCTCTCAGATGAAGAACTGGTGCACAAGAATGCTGGAATCTGAAGGATTTGGACAGATGTTTGCTATATTGTGTATTTTGAAGCTGGTGCTTGTGTATAGGTATGTGTGTGTGTGTGTCTGTCTGTCTGTCTGTCTGTGTCTCTGTGTGCTCAGTCTGAGAAGCAGACTCTGATTGTTAAGCCCTGCACAGCCTGGAAAAGCAGCCTTGAGCAAACTTGAGATTAATGAGTCCAGGAAGAAGGAGGACACGATCTGCCATGCACCTTGTGGAAAAAAATGTTATGGGCAAGGATGTCTACATCACAAAAACACCTGGTTCCACTATTTCTTTTCCTCAGTGGCATAACACACAGGACAAGTTTTGGCCAGGTGGTAGAGACCATAGGGATCATGACAAAAATAATCTTCATCTGAAAGTATGTAGTATAGGTAGCATTTGTGTCCTTATTAAATTAATATAGGCATTACATCCTTCAGGCACTGTCTGTGCTTCAATTCCCAGAAACCAGACTTATCTGTTCGGTGACTATTACATGGACTAGAAACATCTCTGCCCTTTCCTCCCATTAGCCCTGCAGGGAGATGCAAATATGAAGAATGTCACAAGCTTCATACTAATGTGCTAAATATTTAACATAATTAGTCATCGGAGCCCTATCCCTTTCTCCCACTGAGGTGACCAAGAGAAGATCACAGGATTAATAGTATGGTCCCCAGCCCTTGTTCTGTGAGGCCATTTGACGTTGGCAGGTGTATTGGAGTCAGCAGGATCAGCAGGCAGAGGGAAAGACAAGGGGGACAGGCAGCACAGCCTGCAGTTATTGCACCCTGGCTGGGGCTGACAGCTCATTTGCACAGCGTCTGGGAAGCGAGGGCCTGCTCCCCTCATCTGAGATTCTGATGAGTGGCTGGTGTCTGACACCGAAGCCCAAGAGATCCCAGACAGGTCACTGGCTCGGAGCCATGGCGAGTTCTGCATGCAATGGAAACCGCAGCAGGGAGAAGGGCTGCAAGCCCGACCTGGCTGCAGCCGGTGCGTACGTGCTGGAGCAAGGTGGCTGGCAGCCACACAGTCCACATCTCATCGTGTGACTGGGAATGAGTATGTGACACCACATGGTCCCAACGGGCACCGGGGCTGGGGACAAGTCCCTGGGACCCATCCACCTGATGTAAAGCTATTCCTGGAAAAGAAGGAGGAAAATGTCTGGGCTTGTGCTGATATAGTTTATCTCCACTAATGGACTTTGTCCTATATATGAACCAGAAAAATTTTATGTGCTAGCAGCAGAGTGAAAGGAGGGCCTCCAACAAAGACTCTGAATCAATATAGCACGGAGCTAAAAAAATCCTTTTCCCACCATCTGCTTTGTTGTAGGAAACTTCCCCTGTCCTTAAAGCCAGGGCCATTGCAGGAGTTTTATAGACTCACTCTGTAGGAATTACATATATCCCTGCAGTCATGTCAGGACTCAGCCAAGGGCATACTCTGTGCCTAGAGTAGCAAAGGTGCAGGGAGGTGGATTTCACCACAAGCACCCCAAATCACTGAGCCTGCTGGAGTTACCTTCATTGTTATTGGTACCCGAATGTGCTGGTTCATCTCGGCTTGCACATCTTCACTGAGCCATAGGCACAACCAGAAAACATCTGTCAGACCCCACATCTGACCAGGAGATTTATGGATGGTTCCTAGTGCACTGACACAGTGGGGTAAGGCAGGCAGAGAGAAGGTCAGTGCTCCCAATGGGCTGACATTTAGTCCAGGTACCTAATAACTGGTAACTAGGCACAACACACATGCAAACTCTCCTTCCTCCACCACATAAAAATATCTAGACAACTCCAGTCCCACTCAGACTGACAGAGGCAGCTGCTATAGCAGAGCTTTTAATCCTAAAGCAGAGTCTGTTGTCACTGGCAGGAAATCTTATTGTGTTGGACAAGCAATCCTAGATCTTAATTACATATATTTCCCTCCCCACAAAACCAGACGGACTAGACTGGAGTCAGACGAAGCACACTGCTTAAGCCAGGGACCACCTGGCTGTAACTTCATCTAGGTGACAGCATATGCCTTTGTGACCTCCTCTGAAAGGTTGAAACACCAAGCAAGCTCCCAGAGGTAAAGTGAGGAATTGTAAACAGCAAGAAATCAGATATGCACAGTTCTGCGACGGAATTTATTGTTCCTTCTCCTTTCAGAGACCGAATTCTTTTGGCCTTTGCCCTGACCAAAGACACAGCAGATCATGCTGGTACAGGATTGATTTTTAAGGGAGCTGGTGGCTCCTTCACTGTCTCCACTTAACTCAGTGTAGCAGGGAGTACCTTGAACTAGGTCCTGCTAGTAGCTCCTGTTACTGAGCACCTCATTTTTCTTCCTTGTGCTTGCCCTCAGACTGTCTCTGTGAGATAAGGTGCATTAATTTCTTCACACCAAAAAGAGCAGCTGTGTCACTTCCATGCATTTCTCCTAGCCACAACCCCCTGGTGTTGGGATGGGGAGAGGGCAACAGGAAGAGGGAGATATCTTGCCATTATGTCTGTCTCACTGTGTTTACAGATGTACACGACAGGATGTGGGTGTACATCTGTAAACACAGTGCAGCATGCACTGCAGGGGCACCTCAGAAAAAAATCAAAAGGCTGCAAAGACCAGAGTTTGGGTCTTCAGAGCTGCCATTGCAGCCTTCCACCTGAGCTGATCATCCCTCCGTTCCGGTGTCTAGAGAGAGCAATGCACTGCACTGCTGCTGGGAGCCAAGACTGCTTGCACATGCCACCTCCCCATAAATGAATAAGGGACCTTCCCTCACCACATTCCCCCAGCACAGCAGTGGCCACAGCCTTTAGTCAGGGAGCTCTTCTCTCAGCACTGAGGCACTGAGCTGAGGCTGCTGTCTTGTGCTGTGAGGTCCAGTAATCAGGTCATGTCCCCATGGTGACATCCGAGTGCCCTAAGTCCCTGGCTAAGACAGATGCCACGTGCTGCTCAGGTCATAGACTGACAGTGCAGGTTGCTCTGCAGCCAGATATGTATGCAAAACACCTTTCCATTTTCTACTCTTCCCCCAGTTCTCACTGGGGTGTTGGTACAGCCAGGAGCAAACACACAACTCTGGTGCAGGGATTTTTATTTTCTGAGAAACACATATTTCACTTCCCAGGGCAACAGAGCTTCAGACACATAGTGGTGGCTACTAGAAAGCCTACAGATCACAGGTAGTACTGGTCTTTATAGTTTTGCTAATGCAAGTTTAACAACTAAACCTCCAGAGCTGGCAGGCACTGGAGACTGACTGGCTGCATTCACCCCCACAAAGCAAGGTAACACTGTGCTGGAAGCTCTCCATAAGTAACCTGCTAACAGTCTGTGGCAGGAATGGGATGCTGTGTCCCTGCTTCCCATTCTCACATCTCTCATTTGAGTCATTCCTTCACTCATTCACCACACTCAGCACTTCCCTTGATCCTCCACATCCCTTCATCTTTGGCCATGCCATTTGCCTCTCAGATGAGACTGAGTTTCAGGGAGAGAGAGAGAAAGGGGATAAAATAGGCTGAAGCTCATAGATAACCCCTAATGTTATTTTTCCTAAAAGAGCAGAATATTTCTTTTGTATACATGAAGCCAGGAAACAACAGTTTATCATGGATATCACTCTGAGTGCCTCAATGCTGCCTGGAGTGACTCTTGGCCTCTCATCAAAGCTTTCCCACACAGCAGAGATGGCCAATTGTGAGATGTTCAAAATAGCGCTGGGGAAAGATGCGTGGCCAGGCCCTCCATCGTGGCGCTCCTTTGTGCGTATGTGCTAACCCTGGAAACCGAACTCCTTGTACTTGCTGGCCATATCATTTCGGAACAGCTCCAGAGCCTTCTTCATTGCAGCCTGGGCATCAGCCCCAAAGTCTGCAGCATGTTTTTCGGCAAGGACCTTGATAATGACTTCAGAAATGAACTATGAGGAAGGAAAGAGAGAAAGAAAAACTGAAGGGACACTCAAGGTTTATTTTCAGAAAAGCCAGACTAAGAAATAGGTTGCAGAGCCTGGAAATATCTCTGAGCTAATTCAGTAGGCCTTCCTGCAGCCTCTGGAGAGACAGTGAGGTCTAGTATGCAAGGAGTCTGGGCTAGGCAGAAGCACTGGGCTCTATTCCTAGCTCTGACGCTGATCTGCTTCATGACCTTGAGTAGACCATGGCCCTTTCCACTTTTTGTCAGCCTCATCCATTAAGACTGCAAATTCATGCCCTGTGTTTGTATAACACTTACTTTTATGGGTCTTGGTCTCCAATGGATCCTCCAGGGCTTACTCTAAAATTGTATGTCCCTTGTGTCCAGTCACTGACAGTCCTTATGTAATTCAGTTTCCCAGGCATGCATAGGCTGCATGGGCTGGTTTATTGTTGTCAAGGGTTGGTCAGACTGCGTGTGGTGTTTGGAATGGGAAATCTAAACTTGGATATTCACATACCATTTGCATACCATGAGCCCTTTTTGTGCCTCCTCCTGCTTGTACACACAGACCCTGGACTTGAGGGAGAGCTCACTGAAGTCCAACTAGTCATCAATAAATGAAAGCCCAGCTCTCACATAGCTGTCTTACACACATTCACTACACATCAGACACTGAGACTCTCTGCCCTTTTCCATACCTCCAAATATTTGACAGGGATTTTGTGCTTGGTTGCATGGGTCTGAGCCAGGGGCTTCAACTCGGCCTCATGATTACCCTTTGCCTTCAGGATTTTGCCCAGTTGGGTAAGAACAGTAACTCCATGTTTCTTCAGATCTTCAGAGCCCTTCATCGCATCAGGGGTCTTCAGGCCTTTGAACTTTTCAAAGCGATCGAGGGTCTCAGGATGGTCCTGAAAGAGTCTGTGGACAAAAGCAGAGGGACTTTGGAGAGGGGAAGCTCCTGACATACCTCCCTTTGAGTACTCAATCTACTTTATTCCCATCTTCTTACCCATTTCTTAAGATGATCACCACTGTCTATTTCCATTCCCTCTGGTCATGACAGAGACACTGCCCTAAACATGCCCAACTAGAGCAACAGAGGAAGTGTCTGTATTTTTTCCATATAGTTCTGATAACTCTTTGGCACCCATCCCCTGGATTATGTCAACGGTTTTAAGACAGAGACAAGAGCCAAGAGCCAAGGCTAGTCATGATACTGAGAGGTGAGTTTTTGTATTCATGTGAAGGAAAACCAAAAGTAGACAAAACCGCCTGTCTTCATCAATTTACTGTTGCTGGAGAGCCCACCTATAGACTCCTGCCTCTCACTCAAACTCTCCTATCAGCCCATGATTTGTTGTCCAGGAAATGAGAGCTCTACAAGCTTCTCATAGCAAAAAAACCCCAAACCAACAAAAAAAAAAAAAAAAAAAAAACCAAAACAACAACAACAAAAAAAAACCCAACCAAAAAAACAGCCCCCAGCCTCAGGTCCCTTATATCTGGAGGCTGTGTGTTCTTGAATGTCATCTGGATGAGAGAGTTTAATGTGCCCCCAAACCTGATGATTGCAGACATGGAGGAACTTGGTTCCTGTCCTTTTTTCCCACCCTCTCTCCCTTCCCTCTTCCCTCTCTCCTCCCTCAGAAACTCCTTGGAGGAGACCTGGGTTGGCAGGGGAGCGCAAAGTCACAGGCTGACATCTATTTATTTAATGCCATGCTCTAATCTGTGATACTTGTAAGAAAAATGGTACTAGTTTTCCATTGGGAACTGCTTTTTCTCGCATGTGGCAAATTCAGAGCCAAATTAGCCACCTCAGAGATGGATGGGTGAAGATGGCTCAGGTTCCTGTTATTCCTCCAGCACTCCTGCTCTGGACCACAAGAGGGGAAAGCCATCACATTTCCACACACTTCATTCCTATTCCATTCCTTACCCTTCCTTACCCTTCAAGTGGCAGCTGATCTGGATCATGATAATGCAGGTAAGGAAAACAGCCCCCTTCTTTGGCTCATCTTTCAAAAATGTTTTTTACAGCTTTGCAGTAGATGTGCCTGGAGATGTGGGCTCCTTGCCTTAGCCATGCTTGGGATAGAAATCCCCCAAGCAGGTGCCACATCTCCACTACTCTCCTCGGTGTCTGTACCACACCCATTTGGGTGTGCACAGTCTGAGAGGAGAGCTGAAGAGAATCTCCTCAAAGTCTGCATCCTCTCTGGTCTTAAGGGACAAGCTAGGCTCCAGTGTCCACCTAATGTTCTTTCCTGCTTTGCAGTATCTGGGGTGTTCACCACTCCACCACTCCAAGTGCCAGGATCACAAGGACAACATGAAGGATGGGGTCCTCTCTCAGCTGGAGACCTCAGCAGCACTTCTGACACTGGAATGATGGAGAAGGGAAGTAAGGGGAAGGATGTGCCTCATTTCATACTTAGACCTCAAATTCATCATGAGGTAATGGACAAGTGTTATTGCACAGATTTCTGGCCAAAAAGCAGGATGGGCAGGGCTCTGCCAGGTGAGACTAAGGTGGGGAGAGGGAAACTCTCAGATACTTCGTAGTTAATTTTACTGAAATAGATTCCAAGAAAATTGCCACAGAGGTAATGTTCCTCTCTTTTCATTCTTTCTCTTTTTCCCGACATCCTTTCTGCAGAGCATCTGAAGCCCCATGACACACTTCACTCCAGCATTTCTCACTGTAGTGCTTGGGAAATGAGGATCCAAAGCAGAGCTTGGCCACCAGAGGCAGAGAGACAAAGCACAGCCATGTGTTAATAGCAGCATTGGTCTGCTCCTGCACCCATAGAGAGATGGAGAGACAGAAGCACAGCCAATTTACACAGGGAGTAACTTTTAACCCAGAAAATAGTAATGGAAAAACCACCATTCTACAAGAAAGAAAACACCTTGTTGAAATTAACACTGACAAGCATGTCTCTCATCAAAAGCTCTCAGCTTTACTCTTAGGACTGAAGCTCCTTGCTTACCTCATTAAAATTTGATGGCCATGGCCAGCGAGGTCGGACTCCACCTTTCCCCAGACTGTCAGGACTTGCTGCCATTCCTGGTCACTGAGCCCCATGGTTCACCAAAGACAGGTCCTGAGTGCTTCCTGCAGCCGTTTGCCTTTCCCCAAAGGGTAGCTGGAAAGCTCACCCGTGGGATTTATAGCCCCTGCCCACAAACCTACACCTGTCAATCATCAGCTGGACTTCTTGCTCTCTTTCAGGCTTGTCTAACCTAATCAGCCTCTCTGTTTTTTCCTAGGAAGCTATTTTGGGTCAGGTACTATTGTGGGTGCCACTGATGGCATAATTTCTGCTTCTCGTATTGGACTGGCACATGTCCCACTCTAGACAGAAAGGGCACTGCCGGAATGCTGTGCCAGGAGCCTGTCCCAGGTTCCTAAGGACCCAGAGACAGTGTCAAGCTTTATGGCAGGAGATTTCTGAAGAGCCCAGTCATCTGCAAGGCCACCCTGCCTCCCTGTCCCCTGGCCTGCCAAGGGCAGGCAGGAGAAAAGGCCGGGACAGCCAGTAGCATTGACTCCATCACTTCAAAGGCCTTTCCTTTCCCATAATGATCTCACCATCCTTTTCTCCTGGGGTAACACACCACTTGTGACATGCCCTTAAGAGATAACCCTATTCAAAGCCGCCCTGTCATTTCCCCACCTGCTGCAGGAGGAATGAGGGGATAAAAGCTGTATTGGAGCCAGTTTCCCCACATCTGCCTGCCAGGATCCTGCTGCCTGCTCTTCTGGGAAATACCTAGGATTAGCTGATGGCTGAGTCTGGATATTAGAGCCAAGAGATGTACAACTGAGCCAGGAAGGTAATTTGCAGCAGACCAGAGACACAAGGACATAGCAAAGCTACATTCAACACCCACCCAATCAGCAGTTCTGCTCTCTGGCTACTTCTGTCAAGCCAAACAAATTTCAGTGTTGGAAGGAAAAGCCACTGAGCTGACAAACCATGTGGATATGCTTTGGGAGGGCTCCTAGACTTTCTGTCAGGACTGGTAATGGCCTGGCACCCCAGTGGGGTGACTGGTCCCTTCCGGGGGTGGCTGCAGTCAGAGCATAGCCTGATAACAAAGCCCAGCCAGTACTGCTGTCCCGAACTGTGCACCTGGCTCTGGATGTTTCCAAGGAGAAGGCAGGCAAGAAATATCAACTAGAGGCTGAAGACACCTGCCTTGGAATTCAGGAGAAGAGGATTCAACCCCACAGTGTCTACCACAGTGCTTCAGGATCTGAGCTTCTTCAGTGCCTCTGCACTCTTCCACTCCCTACAAGTTCCCTGCTCCAGCCTTGCAAGGGGAGAGAAGTGCCCATATACAATGGGCAGCAAGGATGATGGAGCTACAGAGCCTCACATGCCTTAGAAACACAGAGCTTTAAAGGGAATGCTGTGGGTAAGAAGGGTGGCAAAAGCCCAGTGGAGGTGTCAGCTGGCATCCAAGCCTCGAGATAAGGACATTTTGGCCATTACGTGTTGCAAGCCTCTGTCAGCCAAGTCAATTTGAGACTCTGAAATCCTCCCCTTCCATCTCCTCTATGCTAGTTTGCTTCACATCCAAGAATCTACATCTAACACTTCAATTTCAAGATTTCACCCTGATTTACCTGTGCAAACACCAGGTGACTACCAATTAGCCAAACTAAGCTAATCTTATGGAATAGAGGTTAGTACTCCTCCAACTCATTCCCTGTGCAGTTCTGCACAGCACAGGGCTGAGACAGGGGAGATGACATATGTGCAGCCTCACTGCCCATGTGCTCACAGCAGTAATGAAGCATTTGTATCCTTCCAGGCTTGGGCAGGATCCTGAACACTGACCTTACTGGTTTACACACCTTTCAGACACACCAGAAACGTGCTCCTAGTACATGAGAGGCTGCTGCTTATGCACCAAGCTCTGTGTATTCCCCAAGCTGGAGCTACGCAGTTGCTGTAATAACTCCATTTGAAATTGGTCGACTCTTTGCTCTCTGCAGCTTTCCCCAGGGCTGTGAAGCCAAAAGTCCTGGTATGGACATTAACATTAAATTGTCAGAATACTTAAAATGGGTATGAGATTCCATATTGCTTTTTTCTGCAAGCAAAGTAGTAATGAAATGAAATCATAAGCTTTTCTCCCTAGAGCTTAAATAAATAGTCTACAGAAATACTAGAAGTTTTATAGTGCACCAGACCACCCCTCAACCCCGCAGCCATGAAAAGGACATAACATTTTAGTATCTACAGTCCTCTTGTCTTCCCCATGGGGCAAAATCTATCACTTGCATAATCATCTGGATAAACACAAAGCACAGAGAGCCAGCACAGGGGCTGCCTCCTTTAAAACGTACCAGGTGACTGAATAGCCTGTTTCAAGCAGCTCTGCTTACACCGGGGCCGTGCCGGCACACGTGGCTGCGTCTCTGCCCCCACACCTGAAGCTGTCACTGAACCAGCAGAAATGGACCTCGGATGCTTTTGGCCAGGCTTTGGGGCGCATCGCTGGAGCAGTGCGGCCGCTTTCACCCCACTGCAAAGCGCCTCGGATGGCCGTGCAGGAGCAGCCCCTGCTGGAGCAGGGTGCGGTGCCCTGGCTGACTCGGGGACCCTCCCCAGCCCGGCCGCTCCGTGGCTCGGTGTCCGGCGCGGGCCCGCAGCGCTGCCCGGCCCGGCCCGGCCCGGCCCGGCGCGGAGGTGCCGCGGCTCCGGCCCCGTGGGCCAGGGCTTGCTGCCACCTCGTGGCCACGGGACACCGAGCCGCTGGCACCGGGGCGCGTCCCGGCCCTGCCGCGGCTGGGAGGCTCGGGGAGCCGGCCGGCCGGCAGTGGTCTCATTCCGGAGGTTGGAAGGTGACCCCGGGGCAGGCAGGCAGGCAGGCAGCGTTGGGTGCAGAACTTCTGTGAGGGGCTCATTTTCAGTACGAGATGTAGAGACATCGTTATTCCTTGGCCACTTGGGATGCTGTGCCTTCCCCCCTGCCCCCCAGCCTTGATATTGCAGAGGGCTGGAGTGGTGGCATGGGGACAGAGGAAGCTCCCATGGGACAGCAGTAGAGCTACAGCTGAGACTCAGGGTACTGCCGCGAGGAGAAATACTGTTCTAGAAACTTCATGGGGTTTGTTTCTACCCAAAAATGCTACCCAAAGGTGCTTAGGAAAGGTCCCCTGACCTTACAGGCTCAGCAGGCAGGTAAAGAGCGGTCTCTGGCAAAACAGTGAAGGCAATTCACCCCTGCCTTGCTCCACCCTCTACAGCTGGCAAACCTTTCTACAGGTATTAATTAATTTAGAACGTGCCACAATTCCATGGACAGAAATGCCACTTGTCCTTCTCTTTGATGGGAAATTCTGTGACTCACTTGAGCCCACAGACACACCAGTGAAAAAGCAGGGATTGGCTCTTGGGTGAAACAGTTTCACCAGCTGTTTTGGCGTTATTCCTATGGGGTCAGCTGCCCAGGTGGAGCTGGGGGACACAGAGGAACACACACCAGCCATAGGGATGGACCAGGTCCAAGTTTGTTTGGCCATATTCAATTATTTTTCCTAGAGTGTCACTGTTGTGAAGAGAGAAATCCAACCCTGGGCTGGAAAGTGAATGTTAAAGAGCCCAGCAGTCCCCCACACTGCCTTGGTGGTTAAGAGAACAAATTTCTATCTCTGTTTCCTCTGCAGCCAGACCTGCTGCAAGCAGGGAAATGGGCACCCAAGAGAGAGGCAGTGGCAGAAATCACAGATTTCTTTTTCATTTGAAGTACGTCTGTGAAATGAATTTTCCAGAAAGAAATAGACAGACATGTTCCAAAATCCAGTCCTTCCTCAAGAAACAACCCAAATCATCTTGTGTGCTTACACAGCATAATGTCTCAGAGGAACAGATATTTTGACCAAATAATTTTTTTATTTTCAATGAGCTATTTTTTTTCCCCACAACATAATTTTTAAAAAGCCCTGAGAGCAGCCAAGGGTCCCATGGCTGGGAGCAGTGATGACAGCAGCCCCAGCTCTGCTGTGAGCCTGGGTTGTATAAAGAGTGACGTGACGTAAGTAATACACACTGCTGTGGTCAGGGGGAGGCTGGCACTCAAAAAAAGCCAGGAATATTATATAACAACAACTTACATAATTACCTCTTGCATAATGCCAGGGAAAAGGCCCTCCGTAACGCAGCTGTGGTTTCTATGGCATTTTGCTGAAATACAGCTTCTTCTAAGAGACTCATTTGTGCTTTGTTTCAGGAGCCTGCAGCTCAGTCTATGCAGACAGGCAGGTGAGAGTCCTGCACTCACAGCAGCTTGAGCTGGAGAGGTGAGGGATGCAGTAATGGGATCTTACAGCAGGGCGAGAGCATTGGCTTTTGGGCAGCCCTGCCATTAACTTCAGCACTCTGAGAAGCAGAAGACTGTCATGTAAGAGCCCCATCCTTAACTGAGTGTTGTGTAGCCTCCACTGCTTGTAGGAAATGAGATGGAGTCTAACTGATGATGGCAGTGGCCAAATCCCATTCCAGGCTCACTCCTCTCTTCCCCTTGTTCTTAGACACTATTCTTAGCAATGCCTCCAGGCAGGGCTCCTGTTCACTGATGGATTTCAGCAGCTGAGAGGTGACCTGACCTGCTTGCTTAAAAGGAAGAGAAAGGACTAAGAGCAGAAGATTTCAGCATCAGGACAAGAAGATTTGGGCTGTGAGTTTGCAGAGCTATGCTATATACTTACCATGGATTTTCTCTGGGATCAAGCCCTATACTGTAAAGTCAGAGGTAGCTTTACCTTCACTTCAGTGCTCACAGGATCCAGCCTTTGGTGACTATCAGACATAACACAGGCATGACCCAGAGCTCCTGTGCAATTATTGAGGCATCTCACAATGTGTGTTAACTCTGCACAGCACCTGGGGAAAACGTTTATCTCAGCTAAACAAGACACTTCTTGCACACCAGTGCTTGCATTCAGTGGGAGAATGTGCAGGAAAGCAGAAGGGCAATCCAGGACAAGAATATCTAGGCTACAATACAGAAACTGAAGCTGTCTCTGAGGTTGCAGCAGCTCTTTCTGGGGATGCAAACCTTCTCTGAAGG